TGCATCCTAGTCCTATCCCTGCCCCAGGTCTTCTGACTGAGGGTCTGTGAGTCTATGACAGAGTCTATGAAATGCTCCATGACGGTCCTCACTGCCCTCACAAGCTGCCTCTCCAACAGCGACTGAACCAACCCTCATCTGGCCTGCCCCGACAGGAAATGCAAGGCTCTTTGCCACGCCGAGCCTGAAAGGGGCAGTGGGGCCTTGAATACACTGTTGGGTTCAACAGTGGAAGAAACACAGATTTCAACGAACTCCCACCCTAAGTCCCGTGGCGCGAGGCCACCTACGCCTCACTTGTTCATTCAGTCATTCATTAAAATTTATGCAGAAATAAAGTTTCAATATGTAGATAAATAGATAAGTATATATATATATATATATGTATATATATACATATATATATATATGTATGTATATATATATATATGTGTGTGTGGGGGGGGGTGTGTGGGGGTAATATATATATACACACATTATACATGTGTGTGTGTGCGCGGCCACTACGAGCTGCCCTTTGTCAGGATGGAACACCGGTTTACTGCGCAGATGACAATCGCAGCCCTGCCCGAACCTCTGATAGTGAGCTGGAACTCGTCCTTACCAACTCCTATGTGTACTGACTGAAAAAGCTGTGATGCTAAGGCACACCGCATATGGGGCGGATCACGCCGGGTGTGCCGGCACAGATGCAGCTTTCGTTTTTACAGTCACTTTTCTTTCTCGAAGGCCATAGGCCTCGAGCTGCGTGTGAATTTATTGATGAGAGTTGTTTCCTCTGGGTGCTGCTGAGCCAGCATGCTTCGCTTCAGAAGCCGATCTGTGATCGCCATTCGCAGCGGACCTCCCTGCGGCGTGTGAAGAAGAGATATATATAGAGAGAGAGAGAGAGAGATATCCATCCATCCATCCATCCATCCATCCATCTGTCTATCTAGCTGTCCATCTACGTCCATATCTATCTCTATATCTCTGTCTCTATCTCTATACCTACGAGTGCCTCTATACCTCACCAAACCATACCAAATCAAACCCAAACCATCGAACTAAGCCGAGGCATTCTTTTAATCACTTATGCTGCAATCTGCAAGCTTAGGAGAACCGAAGACCCCGTCTACCAGAAGGCCCTATCCAATTAAGGAATGCGCAACGGAAGACGCGGTGTAACAGACGACCCCATCAAGCCCTAAACGATGCAAAACGGTGGGCAAAGACCTCCAGGATTCTTAAAGAGCTTTCCCCGCTAGGAGTTAGGAGCCACGGCAGTGCCAGGCGACGGCAAGCCGTCACAGCTGCGTTTGCAGAGATTGCATCCAGGGTCATCCGTGCGCCTGGCTATACTTAGGCATATATTATTATGGTTTGAGTATTTTCAACAACAATAATACAAACAATAATACTCTATACGCGTGATTTTCAACAATGATCATAAGAGCAATAATACTCTATTGGCGTGTCGGGTTCCATTTTGTCTGACGCTTCTTCTGCGCGGTGGACTGCTTGGGTCCAGGCCTGGGCACCATTCAGGGGATCTCCTACTGGCCGCACCCAGGCCTCCTGTTCGAGTTTCACACAAATATGTGTGTGTATATATATATATATATACGTACGTATGGGTATATATGTATATCTACATAGGTACTTTTGCGTATGTATCTACACATGCATGTATTCACGTACGTATAGGTAGATAGACAAATAGATAAATAGATAGACAGATAGACAGATAGACAGACAGACAGATGGATAGGTAGGTAGCTAGCTTGCTAGGTAGCTAGGTAGCTAGATAGATCGATCGATGGATCGATGGATCGATGGATGGATGGATGGATGGATCGATGAATGGATAGATAGATAGATAGATAGATAGATAGATCGTCGTAGTAGTAGTCGTCAGTAGTAGTGGCAGTCGTCCTAGAATAGGTAGATGCCCTAGCGTACAGCGATGCCGATCTTCAACTGCAAGTTTCAGAAAAGACTCTGCTCGGAGGACCTGGCCCGTAGCCGAGGAGGGCTAAGGCCAAATGCCACTGAACGGTTTCTGCGCAGGCCTGCGCAGTCAGAGCACCACGAGTTCGCTGCACCGGGCGAATTTAGTTTAAGAAGAAGTTCATAGCTTCGTCATGTTCGTGGCGTGGACATTGAAGCATTTGTCTACGGCTGCCAATAGGCCAGAGAAACGGAGCCCAGTTGGGCCCCATACCCGACTCGGCTCTGAACTCCGCACCACACACTGTGCTGCCAGAACAGCGTGTTCAGTTAGGTCTGTTCGGCAAAGGGTCAGCAGGTATCTTTACCGGCTTCGTGCTGCCATTTTATGTTCCCTCTTTGACTGTTAAAAACTGCTTTGTGACAGAGTGGAATGTCTTGTTGACAGGTTGCGGTACTGCCCCCATCACGTTTGTAATGAGTCTTGCCTGGATTCTCGTCCCAGCTTCTACCACGATCACAGCCTACACTTCATACTGATGTCCATGCTCGTTCGACTGTGTCTGATTTTACATCAAACGACCATCCTTATTAAGGTGTTAGGGGCCTAATTCCAAAATGTTACTCTACAAAGGTCCGAAATCATAGTCTCAATAATGGTCTTTCTCGACCCTCTAGCCAAAATGCTTCGCAAGGGCTCCGAAAGTCTTGCCCAATCCAAGTCGCCGCGAGAGCCGCGTTGCAAGCCACTAGCTGAGCGTCGGCCTGTTGTGCATCACTCGTTGTGTATTGCACATTGTGTGCTATATGTTATCTAATCCAGTGCTACAAATTATATGGTATGTGGGACATGTTAAACTGTATGCATTTGTGTAAGTATGTATGTATGTACGTACGTACGTATGTATGCATGCATGCA